AGGCGGGCGACGGAAGGCCGATGCCTCCGTTGCCCGGCCCTCTACAGAATCCACCCCCCAAACCTCCAGGTATTTCCCTCCTTAGAGCTGGCAACCCTACATTCCCCTCAGTGCCTGTTGGTAGGCAACTAAGCTTGGTCCTGTCACCTACTTTGGCCTTTGGGAGAAAACACATTGGGGCCAATCCTGATAGGGTTGCCAACTCCAGATGGGAAATTCCTGGAGACTTGAGGGATGGAGCCTGAAGAGGGTGAGGTTTGAGGAGGGGTGGGACCTCAGACAGGTACACTGCCATAGACTCCACCCTCCAAACCAGTCAGTCCCACATAGGGAACCATTGTTGCCAATCTCCAGGTGAGGGCTGGAGAGCACTCAGTATTACAACTGTTCTGCAGAAGGGAGGGCAGAAGTCAGCTGAAGTCAAAGGGGCAGATAATGGTAGGTTGGTGGCTAGCTGGGAAGGAGATGGGGTTGCCAACTACATGCTGACAAATTCCTGGGGATTTGAGGGGTGGAGCCTGGAGAGGGTGGGGTTTGCAGAGGGGTGGGACCTCAGACAGGTAGAATGCCATAGACTCCACCCTCCAAACCAGCCATTTTGTCCTGGGTAACAATTGTTGCCAATCTCCAGGTGAGGGCTACAGATTACTCACAATTACAACTGCTCTTCAGGTAGCAGAGATCAGTTCCTCTGGAGAAAACAGTGGACTCTGTCATTATACCCTGCTGAGGTCACCACAGCAAATTGACACTGTTTGCCCAAAGCCAGAGCACTCTCCCAGAGCCTCTTTCTAGATCTCTTTGTATTTATTTCCACAAATAAATATTTCCACAAATATTTTCCTAGTCTAATATACTTGTCATGGATCTTGTTATACTGGTTACATCTGAGCATCATGTGCTCAATAATTTCTATCTCCCCTGAGCCACATTGGCAAAATCTGTATCCAGTGGGGAACCTTTTGAATCTGCCCTCAAGCAGCGGGGAGGGGAAAGCCTCACATCCGGCTAATGTGAAGGCTTTCCTAGATTGTGACTATCAAGCTGCAATAAATAGGACATGATTCAATGCTATTTTGAGGATTTGGGGATTTTCTCTTTGAAGATGTTATTATCTGCCTATCACACTGTCGCTACGTTTCAAATAACCTTGTGACATTGGCCAATGTGTTTTGTCTTATTATGCTGACCTGAAATCACTCTTGGGAGTGAAATTTAAGTTTGGTAGAGAGACATACTGAACAGATCTACTATGAACCCTACTCATATCTACTCAATGGGGTAGATTACTCCCAGGAAAGTTTTCTTAGGATGGCACTGGTAGCCACCTCCATTTCACCTTGCAACCCATACTACATTGATAATTCCTTCCTAGAGTTGCAATAGAAGAGAAAACCAATCACATTCTATTAATATTTTCCCCTTTAAATAGTAGTAGTGATGAAAAATATGTGTGTGTCATTTGTGATACAAAAGTTACAGTGTTTGGTACATTCTTGAATAATACTGGGAGGATACAATAATTTCCCATCTAAATTAACTAGAATTGAATAAGTTTATTTCCTACAATATATCCTTGGATAAGTTTTCCATATGGTGCATCATTGTCTTACAGACCTCCCCAATACATGCTGATGGTCTCTTCTATTTTTCACTCTGTGATATGTCAACTGATATTATCTATATAGCTAAATGGGCTCCCTGTGTTCTGACAAAGGGTTTTTCTGCACATGCAATTTTGTCTCTTGTGTGCCCATATTACATCTCCCCCCCATTTTCTGTGTACATTTTGCTCCTCCCAGTGGTCACTTTGAGATTATATGGCTACATCAGCAGCTTATTCCCAAGCAGTATAAAAGTGTGGGCAAATAACCTGGAGATACAGCAATGAAATATCAACACAACCACTAGAACAAGCAAAAACACATGCAGAAAAAGGGGGGAGTGCAATATGAGCATGCAAGTGATGAAAATATGACATACAGAAAATCCTACAGTGCACTTTTTAATACCGGATGCCCATATTCAAATATTAAAGCCACTCTGATGTCTTTAAGCCCTGTTTGTCTGCATCCAGGGCCACTTGTCAGGTCACAGTTGAAAACCCCATGCTGTAGTAGATGGCTCACGGGTGTGTTCCAACAGAATTATTCTTATGCTTTTATTTTACACCCTATATTCAAACTTCACACACCTCAGTTACAGGCTCTTTCATGGCCACACATTTGTACAGCTGGCGTTATGATGTCCATCTACCACAGCCTTTCATGGCCACACATTTGTACAGCTGGCATTATGATGTCCATCTACCACAGCTGACATATATGGAAACAGTGCCAGTCACCTATTTTGAGGAAAGAAGGGGCAAAGTACAGATTCCATTAGCTGATCAAGTATTACCTTTGAGAGCGAGAGAAAATGACTTTAAGGAGTGCCATAACATCTTGTAGTTGATTTGTTTCTTTCCCTGGAATTACAAAATATGTTTCAAGAATGCTTTCAAACTGGCGAACCTCCACTATAATCAAGTATTGCAAACATGCAACGTAGCTTGAAATAGCATTCAATAGAATAAGACATACTATCCAATGAATCAAGAAATAAATGCCTATCAAAATTATCAAAACAGGAAAAGCAGAACTAAATCGCTGGGCTCAATCTTGTAACAAGATTTTAAAAAGAGTATTTTTCCATTTTGTAAATGAAGACTACAATTTCAATGAGTCAATCCTTGAAAATAATCCATTTCTCACATTTGGATAGATGATTGCTTGTAATTTCCGATAAACAAGAGATTAACCCTCTACAGATTTCTCTTCTGAATAGCTCATACAGATCCAATTTTGTGAATAACCATTGAATTTGGTATATCCAGGTGGTAACTTATACGTATGCATATTGATGTTTTGGTATATCCTTGCTTTAAGGTACAGACGTACCCTTCAAAACTGTATTTTTACAAAAAAAGTGAAGTTATATTATATATTTGTACTGTTTGTTAAATTTTTCAATACTTCAATAAAAAAGTTTAAATAAAAAAGAGTATTTTCCTGTCTGCAGGACATCAGAAGAGATTTTCCCCAATAATAATCATAGCAAAATTGCAGGGTGATGGATTTGAAAGGTCTAATGCTAGCAGAAGCCAATATAGAGCCTTAACAAGGTCCTCCCTGGATGGTAATAAACTTCATGGAGGCTGATACAAAAGCAGGTGAATGCACAACACCCATTAGTGTATATACCACTGCAGAGGGTAGCCCTGTTGGTCTACAGTAGAACAGCTAGATTCAAGTCCTGTGGAACCTTGGAGATCAATAAGATTTTCAGAGTATGAGTTTTCGAAAGTCAAAGCTTTCTTCATCGGATCAGGAGAGTGGAGCTTTGACTCTCAAAAGCTCCTGCCCAATAATCTTGTTGGTTTCTATGGTGTTACTGGACTTACATCTTAGTGTACGCAGTTACTCAGCCAGTTTACAATATCTGTGTAGATAGATATAGACAATCATTTTAGCACACATTCTGTCATACGTAGCACTAGTGACATCACCGAAATGTGTAATTTTCTGACTCATATTACAAGAATATCTAGATCGCCATGACTGGTTGTGATAATAACAGATCAACTGACCCATTACTTTACTCCCTAAATACTTCCCAAGTACTCCAAGCTAGAGCACTATTATCTGTAGCTAAAGCTGTGGGAGTAGTAAATTAAACTGCGGCATCTGAACTAGGGATGTGCAAAGAAAATAGTATTTGTTATTATTCAGATTTGGGATTTTCTGAGCCAAATATATTTGGTATACCTGGATATTCCTGAATCTCAAGATCGGTATTTATATCCTACTCAGGATTCCCAAATTCTGGGAGAATCTGCTGAGCTTGTTGTGCTATTTTCCACACCATTGAAAACAATGGTGGGATGGGAGCAACCACTTTGGGTGCCCCTATTATTGGAACCATTGGTCCAATATTTTTGAGACTTGGGGGTTCTTTTGGGCAGAGGTTCCAGCAGCTACACCGTAAATGTGGTGTCTCTACCTCAAACTCCCTCTCTCCAAGGCTACTCAATATACCCTTGGAGAGATTTCCCATTGACTATAATGGCCCCATAAGGTGTAATGGAGCCAAATGTATTTGGGAATCATTATTTAGCTGCCAAGTACACATCAGAGAATCACATTTGGCTGATTATATGCCAAATAATACTAATAAGGCCTTATTTGGGAATATATTTGTTTTGGTTTCTGCCGAATGCACACCCTTAATCCAAACTACACTGAGGATAATAAGTTGTGCTTTAACTTTGATGAGTTTTTTAACTATCAAGAAGGGGGAAACAAAACAAAACAAAACAGAATGTTCAAATCATGGGTAGTAATGAATCAAACATGGTAGACGGGCAAATTAAATAAAATTTACAGCCAACTGAATTATAATAGCCTTTAACGATGCAAACAATTATGAACTATGCATGCTTGTTAACAGATTGATTATACCCTGCCTCAGATTGTCCATTTATTACTTAATTCTTATGGGCATTCTCTTTGTTTGTCTGCAAATCCTTGTAGAGAATGGTACACAGCTTCCTGGATTTTTATTGTTGTTGTTGTAATTATGCGAGAACTGTTAGAACTTCCAGAAGTTAATGAAATCATTGGAAATAACCTCTTAAGGGAACATTTGGTTAAGGTAATATAAAGAGCCCTAACCAATTAGAAACCACTGTGTCAGATAACATTCTTACTTATGGTTTAGACTAGGTGAGGACAAATAACAGATGCAATCAATGCAAAAATCCTTCAGAAAATGGAGACTGGAAGTGTCTGAAGTGTTAGTTATTCCATGGATGGAATAATGGACAATTATGAACAGTCAATCAAAGTCATATTTTTGGCATATTGTTCCAATGGAATGAATCAGCATATATTTGGTAAGTGTTTCTATTTGTTTGCTTTTGCCTAAAAACTCTGAGAGGTTTCACACATTACCAGTAATGCCATTAGGACTAGAAGCTTGGTGGGGGCAGAAATCCAGTGGCCCAGCAGACAGGCTCAGCAGGATTCCCTCAATAAGCCATCAGTACCTTTCAATTTGAAGCAGATTTTTTTTAACTAAAGGGAGAGGCATAAGACCATTAAGTTCAGAGATGAAAATGTATTTGTCAACATTATGCAGCTATCAGTTGTAAAATGGAAGATACCAAATTTGCCTACCCTACCTTGGTGGTGGTGGGAAATGCAGCTGACTTCTGGTGACCTCATAGGGTTTTCAAAGCAAGAGACATTCCAAGTTGGTTTGCCATTGTCTGCCTCTGTGGAGTGACCCAGAACTTTCTTAGTGATCTACCCGTCCAAGTACTAACCAAAGTCAATCTTTCAAAGCTTCTGAGATCTGATTAGATCAGGCTAGCCTGGGCCATCCATGGCAGGGCACCCTGACTTTCCCTAATAAAACTATTATTGATAATCTAATAAGTGTGACCCAACATAATATAGGTCAGACTATCTCTCAGACTCAAATGCTGTATCTGTCTGAAGCTAAACAGTCCTATAATACTACCATTTTGTTAACAAGCATGCATAGTTCATATTTGTACCATTTTAAAAAATATGATGACAAATTTAATATTCAGTTTAATCATCATAACAAGACAGCATGTGCGGGTCTCTATTCTGTTTCCTGAGAAATCGTGTGTGTGTGTGTAAAGAGATATTATCTATATGTAGAATGGTAATACTCTGCTGTGGTCATTCTCATTTAGACTATAGGAGTCCTTTCCTTTCCTGTGCTGGCTTTTCCTTCTCCTATAGCTTTTCTGTTTTCTGTATTAAAAATATCTATCTGCTAAACTAAACTTTCCTTCCAGTTGCTATCCTCATGTCTGCCTTCATTTCTACTTTAATCTGTCAGTTTCCTGTTTCATGATAATTTTCCCTTATAGTTTCCTTATAGTTTGCCGCTGTTTTGCTCCTGATCATGTGTGTTTATCTTGCTATATGAATGCTTCCAAAACCATATCTATGTATGAGTTTTATACATCTTAAAGATGAAAACTAAAACAGCATTCACAATGTGAAGCTGTTTTTATTAGGGTGGCTGAGTTGGTCTGCAGTAGAAGGACTAGCTTTGAGTTCAGTAGCACCTTGAAGACCTACAAGATTTTCAGGGTGTGAGCTATCAGGGGCCAAAGCCCCCTTTATCACATACCGATGGGACCAGTGTTCCCTCTAATCTGAATTAGTGTGAGCTAGCTCACAGGTTTTCAGCCTCCGGCTCACACGTTTTTGTCCTAGCTCGGGAAGGATGGCTCCGGAGCAAACGAATTGATGCAGCAGCCAACTTTCATGCCGGTAGCTCACAAAGTAGAATTTTTGCTCACAAGACTCCACAGCCTAGAGGGAGCATTGAATATGTCTGATGAAAGGAGGTTTGCATCCCAAAAGCTTATACTGTTAACATCTTGTTGGCCTCTAAAGTGCTACTGGACTCAGATCTGACATGAAGCTGGGCATCCACATAGAGAGATCTCACAAACATTCTGACATGGATAAGGAAGCTCTCCACAATGTAACCTTAATTCATGAAGAGATTTTGAGTTCATGTTAAAACTGGAGACCAAGAACTTGGAATGGGGTGACGGCATTCACATAACAAGAGGAACAGTTAGGTCAGCTTTGAGATTCCTCTGTCAATCCATCAGTGTTCCACTTAAGTTTATCTGCTGCCAGCAGACATTCAACTTTGGTGTTAGATCTTATTAATCCATTTAGCAGCAACCCTATCCATTTCAGCATACCCCTAAGCTTTTAATTTGGTTAAAGCAGACTCTGTAAGGAAAGCTTTTGGTAAATTTTGGTAGAATTTCTTACACCAGTTTCATGAATATAAATGTGATTTATTAATTCCTGTATGTTAATTCAGCTCTTTGTTTCAACAGGTAAAAAAGGACAAATGAGGGAGCACAGCCAGGGTAGACAGAATGAAAGCAGAGTGTTGGATTTTATCCTCCTTGGCTTCCCCGGGTCTCTGTATTTACAAATGTTCATCTTTACACTCTTTTTATTTATGTATATCCTGACCATAATGGGAAATTTGGCCATCTTTATTCTAGTGATAACAAACCGCCGCCTCCACATTCCCATGTATTTCTTCCTTTGCAATCTCTCGTTCTTGGAGATATGGTACACCACATCCTCTATTCCTAAGACCCTTGCCATCATTCTGGGGAGGAGTAGAAGCATTTCTTTCACTGGCTGTATCCTACAGATGTACTTTGTTTTCGCCTTCGGTTGCACAGAATATTTCCTGCTATCTGCGATGGCTTATGACCGATATTTGGCCATATGTTACCCTTTGCACTACAGTACCATAATGGACCTCAGCCTCTCTGGTAAACTGGCATTTAGCTCTTGGCTGTGTGGATTCCTTGTGATTTGCATACCAGCTTTTCTCATCACAAGACTGTCCTTCTGTGGGCCCAATGTGATCAACCACTTCTACTGCAACATTGATTCCTGGATAGTTCTCTCTTGTACTGACACATATGCCATTGAGATGGCAGCTTTTGTGATATCGATCATTGTTATCTTGGGCTCATGCTTGATAACCTTTCTTTCTTACATATATATAATTTCCACCATTCTGCGCATCCCTTCCACCACAGGGCAGCAGAAGGCTTTTTCAACATGCTCTTCCCATCTTGCTGTAGTGATGATATGGTATGGATCCACTATCTTTCTGTTTGTCAAGCCTTCTAAAAGGACATCTTTAGAGATGACCAAAATTGTGAACATTCTGAACACTATTGTGACTCCCTTGCTGAATCCTTTCATCTACACACTAAGAAACAAAGATGTGAAGGAAGCCTTGAGAAATTGCTTCCACTTGAGATGAACCAAGAATGTAGTATGTATTGTGGAATGCTGTGCAGCATTATGTATTAAAATCAGCATAAAGTATACAGACTTTGGCTGGACATTTCTTTGTTTCTGTCAGTTCAATACACATCTGAGCCTCAGTCTTTCTGACCAAGGGCATAAGCGAAAGTCAGAAATGCAGGATTAAATGTGCTTATATCAAGTTTGTTAATGGGTGGCCATTCAGGATGTGGTCCTTTTAACTGTATTTAAACCTTCTTGTGACTTCTATCATGCGAATTTTTGCTTGAAGTTTTGCTTGTTTCTTTATTGCACTACTGTCTGCCATTGTATTGGACACATTTGTCAATGGCTCCTTGTAGATATCCTGCTTTCAAGCAGCCTTGGGACGTGAAACACTTTAATCTGTGTTAATGGGTAATCTTAGAAAGTATTAGAAATTTCTAAAGCTACAAAGTGGATGTTGTGCCAGTGTTTTGCATACATATTATGTTAAAAGAATGTATACGTTCTTGAGACCGGAAGTGGGTGTGGCGCAGCAACGGGCAGCTTCTCGGTCGCTCTGAGAACGCCCGATCCTTTTACGCTCCTTTGGGGGGCCCTGGGGCGACCGGGGGTACTCCGATAGATGTCCTGGAGAGAGGTCTAAGCAGGGGAATCTGTTGCAGCCCCTCCCGCTCTGGCAAGGCGGGGGAGTGTCCGCTTCCGTCCTGAAGCGGGAGCGTTCTTTAGAGTAAAGCATGATCCCATGCTCTACACAAGCTGCGGCCAGCCTTTTTAAATTCTTTTTGGAATAAAATCTAGTTACAACATGGATATGATAATATAAGAAGATTGACTTTGTAAGTACACTTATTTCTAATTTATGTGGATTAAGACATTGACTTGCAAGTAGCCCCAAATGTTTTGAGCCCAAGTTGGAGGAGATTAGCGGCCAGAAAAGGAACGGGGGAAGGACGTGGATGGTTTGGTTTTGCCCTTGAGGTCAAGGAATTTTGTTGTAGAAACTCACTTTTGTGCTTGTATTAATGGAAGGTTATTGAAAGTGACGTAGATTATATCTTTAACATGGTGTCTCCAGAGGAGTTGGAGGAAGAGGATTTTGATGACAACACCTTAATAGGGGAACTGACACTAGAGCAATTAATGAAGGTGTTGAAGAGTGAAATACAAAAAAGTATTAAACAAGTTTGCATAAATGTCTTCGGAAACTTGCAAGAGACACAAGGGGACAAGGAAAATGAGGAGAAAAATGAGAAACTGGTGCAGGATGGATGGAAGGAGACGGAGCAACAGGCTGATGGGTTTAAAGAGATGTGTGTTGATACTAAGCCTGTGCCACTAATAGAAATAAAAATGAAGAGGAAAGGAGTGCAGTATTTAGAGACAGAACAGAAAAGAAAGAAAGGACAAAATAGGCTGGATAAGGAAGGAAGAACAAAAAAGAAAAAGATAAAAAAGAGAATAAGACAAGGACTGTGGAAAAGTAGGATTGGAAAGACAAGCAGGAACTACAGAGAAGAAAGTTTTGAAATAAGACCACACAGAGATAAAGAAAAAAGCTATGGAGACTCTTTCAGGCAAAATAAGAAAAAAAGAAAGAGACCAAGACGAAGTGTGTGGAAAGGCAAGACTGAAATTATAAACTGGGACATTGATAGGTGGAAGCATAGAAGCAGCAGCTTAGGGAGAAAATTTCATCTATACAAAGAGAAAAGACATGTGGAATCATTGAAGCTGAAAAGCAAACTTCAGATCCATAGGAAAAAAATTAAGATGTATAAAGAGAGAGGGGTGTTACAAAAATTGATGATATTTTTTATATCTTAATATGGATGAACTTGTTTCTATAACTTATTTAGTTAGGAAGGTTGGATGTAAGATATAGGTAACATGAGTGGGAAATGTGGAAGTAAGTTTTTCATTAAAGGGGGAAGAGAAATTAATGAATGGGATTAATTTAGAGTGGTTTGTATATTTTTGTAACCTTGGAAATATGAATTTATGGCTCTTATTGTACTCCAATACTGATGAGATGTGTATTCAAGTAAGGGGGTGTAAATAATGAATAGGAATAGAGTGGTTCTGAAGAATTATGTTATATTGGCTCTTATGGTTCTTATTGTACTCCAATACTGATGAGATGTGTATTCAAGTAAGGGGGTGTAAATAATGAATAGGAATAGAGTGGTTCTGAAGAATTATGTTATATTGGCTCTTATGGTTCTTATTGTACTCCAATACTGATGAAATGTGTATTCAAGTAAGAGGGGTGTAAATAATGAATAGGAATAGAGTGG